GCCTTTCTCATTCTAGGGTTCACCTGAAACCCTAGCTGTTCGAGGTTTCTCCGATTCTCCTCAGATCTGTGTGTATTCATGCTCTATTTTGAGTTCTTGAAGGATTTCCCCAACTTTTCTTTTAAAATTTTTTTACTTTCAAAGTCACTTCTTTCTGATTTAGGGTTTCTGAAAAATGCTTAAGTGTTTTCCGACTTTTCTTTTCCCTTTCTTTGTGTATGTTTGTCTCCACTATGTTCTTATGTTCTTTTTTTTACACATGTTCTATTTGCTATATTTTGTTCTTCCTTCTACCATGTTTCTATGCTATGTTTTCACATGCTTTCCCACTATGTTCGGCTATTTGCCTTCCACTATGATCTCGCCTACTGTATTTTTCTACCGTGTTCATTAAGTGTTCTTATTATTTTTTTACCTTCTAAGTTTCCTCTAGAATACCTGCTTAAACATGTTTTCCTCTACTATTTCTTTTGCTCTCATTATGTTTCGAATTAAGTTCCGTACTCTGTTTACTTTGAACTTTCTACTGTATTTGCTTGTTCCCTCATTTTTGTCTTCTTTGCATCTAAATGAAGTCAAAACCCTAGGATTTTGGGGGTTTTTGGCGAGTTTGGTCTTGTGTGTTTAGACCAGGGTTCTGTTTGAGCCTTAGACTCTCTCAAACTCACTTTGGATCCATGTATTGAGTTCGAACCCTTTTGTGTATGACTCTGGACTCTTCTATACTAGACTTTTTCTGGATAGCATGACAGTTCTTTCAATGTTTAAACGTGTCTGCATGTTTTTATATGTGATGAACCTTTCTTCAAAAGGCTTTCTTGTGATTGAATCAGAATCCTTTTTTGGGGTTAATTGATTGTTACTGCTTCTTTTAATTAAGAGCCTCTCTTTACCTTTTTTCTGACTTGGTTCATTCATGCAAAATATTCGACTCATGATTGCTTAGCTGTCAATTGATTTCCTTTCCTTAATTTGCACAACCGTGTGCTGTCAAACCTTTTCCTTAAATAACTAGTATGTATTTACTCTTCTTGCACTACTTTGAAAAGTGTTTAATTAACCTCCATCCTTATTTTTTTTGCCCGTTTGAAATCAGAATCCCTTAATTAAAGGAAAACCTTGTGTGATTGATTTTCAAACTATTTTCTTACCTATTTCTGCTTCTTTTCTGCACTATAAATACATGACTCTTTAACACAAAGCACACACAATGGGAATAATCCTCCACACGAGATTAAGCACACAAAGATCATAACTCTCTTCTAAACTTATACTCTGGCTTCTTGACTGCACTTTGGCTTTCATAAGGCTACTGTTTCTCCTTACTTGCTTCTTTGAACTGGTATGTCCTAAAATTAATTTCAGTATCTTTCTAATGTGTTTGTTTACAGTCCCAGTATCCACGCCTGCTTTCAATCCTCTGCAAAGTTAATTTTGAAGTACCTACATGCTTTTGCCTGCTCTTTTTTTGCTTCTTGCTGCTAGTATGAACAATTGCTCCCATACCCCATTTCCCTATGTGTGCTGAGTTAAGGTATGGCCTGGCAGCATCCCAATTGCTGTCCAGGGCTGAACCTGACCTTCAATAAGGTCTTAACTACCCAATTCTAAGGCTGACGGGCTGGTCAGGGGTGTGCCAGCATCCCAATTGCTGGGCATGACCACCAGCCTGCCATGGCCCCCCTCCCTAATTCCCTTAAATTGCACTTACCCTCACTCCTAGTCTCTAAGTTCTGCCCCCCTCCTATAAGCCTTGCCTTGGGACCTTGAGTTCCCTCTGAACTTGGACATTTGAGGGATGGCCCTTCCACACTGCACTATAATCTGATTTCTGCAATGATATTTGGGGTGTGAGCATTGCCTGAAGCTCTTGAAGTTCCCTGGAACTTTGACACATCCCAAATAAGAGAAGGCTTTGGAAAATCCGATCCTGGAAGTTGGTTTATCTCATATTATTAGACTCTGAGTCTGGATTAGGCTGATTAGATGTAGATGTAATCACTGATATTTTTATTCTTTCCTCTGATCCATTTGGTCTGTAATAATTTTTTGTAATAACTACTGGGGGTGTATAGTGAAAGGGTATGGGATTGAATGCATGCAAAGGGGTGATACCGATGTTTAGGATAGTTTACTTTCAAAATTCAGTCATGTCATGTAGATACCATGTTTACAGGGTATATTTACTTTCAAAATTTCAGNGTTTATTCCTCCGTCCCTGAATTAATAGATATCATGCCTATAGGTCCCGTTTAACACATAGGCAAAAGGTTAAGTAACTAATTAACTATGTCAGTCTTCGACAACTACATCTAAGCAGGACGCATTAGTGTTTGACTGCCGCCCTAGATTTTTATCCTTTTAAACTCTGAAAAGCCAAGCTCCCTCCCCTTTAGGATTANATAGGCAAAAGGTTAAGTAACTAATTAACTATGTCAGTCTTCGACAACTACATCTAAGCAGGACTAATTCGGACTCCCTATCTGGGAAATATGTGGTAAATCAACCTACCATATGCTTTAATTTAGTTCAGACCAAATCAAGTATGTGTAAGACATGCTAAACAATTTGTTTCTTAAAATGAGGAGGCTTGTTTGAGCCCTTAATTGCTACTTGTTCCCCTTTTATTGCTTATGTGTTTTGACTGTCGCCCTAGATTTTTATCCTTTTAAACTCTGAAAAGCCAAGCTCCCTCCCCTTTAGGATTAGTAGTCCCAAATGCCTCCGGGACTGATAGGTGGGACGGGTAATAGCATGCAGTAGGTAACGATACCATTCCGCGCTTAACACCTTAACGGGGTGGGAAGGGTAGACATGGAGATGATGATCACACGATAACACCATGCGTACGATTGGCTACCGGTGTTGTGTGGATGATCCATGTGTTTTACAAACCTAGGACCCCTTTCCTTTATATAACTTTGTTATTATCAATAAAACTCTGTCTTTCGTTTCAGTCACCAAATTCTTCCTCAACTTCCTGCTCTATTCTTTTAAAATTTATGTTCACTCACTTCTCTGTTTAATTTTCTGCACTTGGACATTCCTTTAAACAAGTTGTGAGACCACCTAGATCTTAATGTCAAACATGCTTGTCAACCATTATACATACCTACTTGCAATCTTTATGTGGAATTATTTGTATGCTCATTTGTATTTAAAGTCACAACATAGCATGGCCGGGAACCACACTAGTGGATCTTGAGGGGTGCCTAACACCTTCCCCTCGAGATAATTTCTAGTCCTTACCCGAACTCTGGTTTTCCAACTCAAAACTCGTGGTGTCCTAATGCACTTAATCATTAGGTGGCGACTCTTCAAATCCAAAAACCCAATTCCCAGACGGGAATAGAGTTGTCTTCCCAAATGTCGTAAACCCGATTTCGCGAGAAAAGGGGGCGTCGACAGGACCTTGCGAACCTCATCGCTGCTTTAAGGCCGAGGTTAGGCTTGTTACTTATTGAGTACATGTGATCGGTTGTACTCGTACTTTACTCTGCACATAATGTACACATCCAAATGTTGCTGATACCGGTGGTTGCTAGTGTGTCGTCATCCAGATTTGCTCGGAGACTTTGAGGTAGCACTGATGTCCCGTTTGCAGGCCTTGAAGTCTTCTCCTTCATCTTATGATATTGTTATTTAGTCTTTCAGACAGTATTACATTTTGTCCAAACTTTGTATTTAGTACTCTATAGAGCTCATGCACTCGGCGACACCGGATTTTGGGTGGTTTCAGTTGTATTGTCATTTGACTTCATTTATTTATGCCATTCCACTATTTGAGACTATTTCTTATTATTGCTGAAGTTTATTTCCATATAATTATTCTTGGTTTGACTAGCAAAAGGTGTTAGACGCCATCACGACTCCGGTGAAATTTTGGATCGTGACAGTCCAACGTCAATTTGTCACAATAATAGTAGAGACCTAGAGCTTCACTCAATGTGATGTTTTTAGCCCCCATTATTGTTTGAAAGAGAAAGCTTAAATTGTGTACAATAAAAAGTTGTATACAAGTTGTATATAAATTGTACGATTTGACCGAATTCGTATATATTTTATAAAAAAACTCTATCTACTTTTTGTAAATAGAAAAGTCTAGGTAAAGGGGGTAAATATTGCCTTAATTTTATATTTATAGGAAAAATTCCTTAAAAGGAATAATCATATTTTTGGGCTGCCCAAAATTTAATAGTCGGGATATATATATATATTTTAACTACCGCCTGTGATTATTTTGGGTCGCCGGGCAAAAAATAATAAAAAAGTCGTATCGCATTTTGACAATTATCTGCACACTTCTTGAACTAGGCTAGTAAAGTTGAAATGGTTTATTCACCAAATCCAAATATAAGTTGTTGGAAAAATTTTATTATGTGACTCAGACAACTAACATTAATTGTGTGAGACTTTGTTTTGTCTCACAACAAAGTGAATCCAATTTTAACACATTTGGAAACTTTGGGTCTATTTTGCTGTGAGACAAAAGAAAGCCTCACACGCACAAAATAAAAGTTTTCAAGTTGTTGGGATGAATTTGTTGTTGAAGTAATTTGGTTGTCTTGATAAATTGTTAGAAGGATAAAGATATTTGGTTATGCAATGTTGTGAAAGAACAGGATTGTCATGTTCAATGCCGCTCGTATTTGTTATTGGCCTTGGAATTTTACGTTATTTTATTGCTGAACTTGCTTACTCAAATTTAAACACATGATAGTGCATAATTACAATTAAATTTCTCGCACATTAAATCTTACATATAAATGTATTTCACATTATCAAGTTTAAATTATACTATATTTTACACATTAATGTATTGATCTTACTTTTAAATTATACTTTTTCATGAATCTAACCACCTCAGGATTTATCGGTACATTCCTCTCTCTTTTTTTTCCCGTAAAGTACACTCCTCTCCACATTCTTAAAAGAAAGAATATCACTAGATTCTCAATTTTTAGTTTTCAACTAGATATTCTCAATTAATTAAGTCCAATAAATTGTGGAATCTTTCGTGTTAAACAACATCACACGTTCCACTAACACCAACACCATATCTTTATCCGTAGACGTTATAATAACCAAGTTACGGGCGTCTGCCGGTTGCGGATTTGCAGGTGCCACCGCCCCAGGACACGTGTCGGTTTGGCGGCGCATCTTCGATTTCCGCCAAAAAGTCGGTTTCACAAATTACTGAGGAAGATTAGGTGGGCCCCCACAGCATAGGAGTCCCATTTCACGCCGGAAATTCGGACGTTCGTTCCTTTTCGCTTTCCCATTCAAAGAATGTTTATGATACAATCTTTCTTCAACTACTCCACCACGGCGTTTCCAAATACGGCGGCGTTCTGCTGATTTCACGCTTTTACGCGTCGAACTCTTCGATTGTTTTAAAAATATATTGAAGATTTTTCTTTTTCTGCTTTCTACATAACGATTTCTCCCCTAAGTTTGAAGAATTAGTGGCTATTCAAAGGTTCGTACGTTCAACTGCATCAGTTCAATTTCATACGTACTTTTAATAAAAAAATTTGGCAGTTTCAGACTTTTCAGAGATTTAGGGATTGATTATACTTCTATGATCCTGTTATTAGATGAGACTTTTTTTTAGCTAATTGGAAAAAGCAACTAAATGCTTTTGTAGAGCGGAAATTTTGTTTTTCTATGTTTTGTGATTTAATTTTATGTTTATGAAGATCAAATCTTTGGTCTAGCATTTTGTCTGGCTATCGCATGAAGTGTCGTTCTTCCTGAAACGAGAAGTCTTTTCTAATCGAGTGTTAGGTTGGTTTTATTTAATTAATTATCGAAAGCTAATGAATAACTTTCCAGGAAATTGAAGTACTGATAACGTATGCTAATGTTATGCATGTATTTTAAATTGTTCTTTAAGTGAATCTGTGAACGTTGATGTGCCATATTACTTGAGAGAAAGAGCTTCTATATTTTATTCACTCCCTTTTGATGTTGCACATATATTAACTATTACGAGTTGGAATTAAGAAATAAATAAATTTTCTAGTGTTTTGATTTATTTTGCCACCACTTCCTAGAATGAAAGGGATCAGGGGAGCTTAACTCTTGCAAGATAAATGAATCTTTTAATGAGAATTCCCTTAGGTATACTTTGTTGTTTTAAATGTATTTGCAGCCAACTAGCTATATACTGTTAGCTATGCTGCTAGATGAAGTGTGAAAAAACCCATATTTTTCCTGATATTCTCATACCTCAGTTGGCAGAAAAACTTGGTGCATTATCAGAGCTGATGTGTTTCCTGGGTGGGAGGAAATAACATACTGTAGGTTGTCTGGCACCATTGGCTCCCACCTATTATGCCTTTCCATGCAGTAATCCATTTGCGGAGTTAGAAATTTTACTTTCCTTATCTATTTTATATAATTCAATTTGTGGGTGATCTTCTTGACCTTTTAGCTTGTCTATCCTAAGCATTAAAAGAGTTTTATTTAGTGACTGACTTTCCTTTGGATGTCATTTATGTAAGTCCCACAAGTCAACCATTTAAGTAAGAATTCCTTTAGAACTATCCTCCATAGGTCTTAAAAAAGCAGGTAGATATGACCCTTTCGGGAAGGAAATTTTCCAAAATACAATTATTCTGTAGCATATGTTGCAAGATTATAGGCAGAGCTTGAACCATTACTGAAATTTGTTGATTCATTGAATCAAGTCCTGTTTTGGGAAGTGTAAGTGACAATGGAAAAAAGCTCTTCTTCTACAATAAGCACAGAGTACACAAGTTTATGGAGGTAAAGGAACCATAAAGCTTTAGGATTATACCTTTGATGTATTATCTCCTGACCTTCTTTTAAGATGCAGAAAGACTAGATGTCACCACTATGGGCACAACCTTTATTCACAACGTTCTGACAGTTCCAATAAATGTCTGTGTCATGTGTCTCTGAATGTATGAATGTGTTTGTGTGAACTCATTTTTCCATTTTTTGTTTAAAATCTCTTCCAGAGGATATGGATGACTATTGAACGTGACTGATATTCTCATTATTGACGTGATGCGTAAAACCTATTAGTGTAAAAACTTGTGGAAAGGGATGTGTTGACTCCATTTCTTGCTAATTCTTTGGGGACTGCAGGAATTTGTACACATAAATGACTGTTTATGAGCTAGATCCTGACGTAGTGAGGTGGAATCTCCACCTTATAGATGTTTGTTCTATAAGCAACGGTGGTTCTCTCGGAACTGTTACTCAGTATGACAGGGATTTTTCTCAAGATGGATATGTGAGAGAAGGTTATTGTGAGCCTACGCATGTTAACGTGGAGAATGATGAGGTAATTGCCCGTGCCCTTCAGGAGGAACTATCACGGCTTTCAGTCATGGATTCTGTAGAATCTTCACACACCGAAGAAGAACATCAAAAAGCGTCAGTTATTGCTCAAGATTGGGTTGCACCGTCGAGGAGAAATTACAATTTTGGTATAGAAGAGGCGTTAGTTTTATGTACATGGATTAGACAGCTCTGCTTTGCATACTTATGTTGATAATACGTTGGAATGTGCAGCACTTGATGGCAATGAGGAAGACACAGATAGTAACGGAATGATAACATTTTGCCCTCGCACAGCTGCATCATCCAATTGGGAGCACCAAGAAGTTTCACCAGAGATAGAGGATGAATCTCTTCTTGATGGTGAAGTAGGGAAACGGCTGAATCAGTTGGCTGCCATCCCTGTGCCATCCAATTGGGAGCATCAAGCAGTTTCACCGGAGATAGAGGATGAATCTCTTCTTGATGGTGAAGTTGGGAAACGGCTGAATCAGTTGGCTGCCATCCCTGTGAGTTTTACTTGTAGCAAAAAAGTTTACTCTTACTCATTTTAGAGACAGTACTTACAAAAGATATTCAGGATTTCTGGATAACTGCATTGCTTGAATTATTTTCCAATGCCATTGATAATTTGGGGTTTCTGTGTTTGGATATTGGGGTTTCTGCTTGCTTTTTGCATTAGATGCAAATGGGATGTGCTTTTGGAATTGCTATCGCGACTAGTAATAGTTGGACACTATCTTCTTATAGTTTCTGGAAAAGTAAAGTAGGGTTCCAGCTTTTTAGTAGTGTATGTTTGACACAGAAACAGTTCATTAGTAAATAGGCATAGGGTGAGCAAGACTGTTAAACATCAACTCACCTTAAGGTTAGCGTAATGCTCATGAATTCGCATCCACAGCTAGAAAATAAAAGGCAGATCTGCAGTAATGAACTAGTTCCTTGTTAACTTCAGTTTCAGCTTTAAGAAGAATACAGGAGAGTGAAAGGGAGACTGCCATCACCTTCCCCTTGACTGAAGAAATTGCTAATCAGTTGAAAGTGTTCTTTATTGTCTGAGAGGAAAAATATGTCTTCAGCTGTTGCCTTTCGGCATTTTATTTTAGAGGAAGGACATACCATTGCTTTTTTATTTCTGTGGCATATAGACTCTTTCGCTTCTCTGTTCTATTCTTTCCTCTTAAGATCTAGAAATCAGGCACTTGTTTGTTGCTGTTTTAATTCCTTGATGTAGTAGAAGAAGGATTTTCTCCATATTCCCATTTCCCAATTTCTTTTATTTAAAATGTTGTACTTTGTGCAAAGTGAGGGAAATGGTAGACTAGATCAGAAGTACTAACAGGTTACTGTGATCAGGCCAATCTTAAGTCATCCCCAAGGTTGTGTTACTGATGTTCTTATGTGGAAAACTAGAATATTATAGCTGTAACTCCTCATGCGCAGTATCCTTTTCGGGACCTGTGTGCTTGTCCTTGAAAGAAATGCTAAAAAGCTTTATCTATAGTTGGTCACTTCATTATGAGCTATAGTGGATTTTTTATCATTTTTCTTTATTTTTATGCCATAAATTTCCAGCAGCCAAATACTAATCTATGGTTCATGCAGCTGCTGAGGGGTTGATGTTTGGGCCATTTCAATACTTTGTGATATTCTGGCATTCATCTTTATTCTTTGATGCTGTTTATGTAGTTCCTTTCACCCCCCCCCCCCCCCCCTCCTTTTTTTTCCCTTGTGAGAAGGCGAAGTGGATAATTCTCAAACATCCATTTTTTCCCTTTCCTGTTTTAGTTTCTATGCCATTAGTTTCCGAACAACTGGAATTACTTTCATCTCCGATCCCTGGTCTTTTCAGCATGTTCCCAAAATCAATGGAGATATACCCTCAGTAGATGAAGCCACGTCAGATCATCAAAGGCTGATGGACAGGTAACTTTAACTTCTTTCCACTTATAGTTTTTTGCTAGCAAAAGGAGTTGTGGACTTGTCAGACTAAGTTATGTCACTTTAAGTCAGGTACTCTTTATCTTTGTTTCTCCAAGCTAGCTAGCGAGTGCCAATGAATACTCTATGAGATGAAGTTTCTGAGAGTTTCAAATGCACTTAACCTCTCCTTGAGACAGTGTTTTGTATGTCAATTGTGCATGCATATGCCACTTAAATGTAAAAAAGAATATCTTGCATACATATGCCACTTATATGTTAAAAAAAAATAATTTCTCCCTTCATTTTCCTTGCTTAGCATTTCCTCCCAAACTTCATTTCAAAGCATATTCTGCAGACGAACTCTTTTCCCAATTTAGCAAATTCGCTTGTTAAAATCCCATATAATAGAATCAGGTATCATACTTAGGGTACTTATTCATAGTCGTTAGGTGTTTTTTCTAATCATGGTGCATTAATTCAGATACTGCTGCCACTATTTTTATTCCACATTCTTTGTTTCTGGTAGGGAAACAGTTAATACCTATACAAGTTATGTAATCCTTATTTTGTATTGAAAAAAATGGTACTTTAACGAGGCATAGACGTGCAGCCCACGTGTCAGGGAACTGGCACACACACACACATACATATACATATGTATGTATGTGTGTGTGTGTGTGTGTGCGCGCGCGCGCATACATGTGTGTGTGTGTGTGTGTGTGAAAAGCTTTTCTTCTAATTGCTTTGTATAATGATGGATGGATTTTTTATAAGAACATTTTTTCTGCAGGTTGGAAGTGTATGATTTATTTGAGTTAAAAGTATCTGGAGATGGCAACTGTCAGGTTCGTTTATTTTCATCTTTTCTAATACCTCCTTCCTGATCACTAGAATATTACAATATATTAATTCCTTTTTTTTGGGACTAAAATCACTTGCAATGGATTGGTTCTATAGAGAATAAGATATCTTTCTTTCAAATCTCTGTAAAATGCATTTTTCCGCTTTCTTTCTATTTTTCTCCTAGTTCTTAGAATTTTTGCAATTATCATGTCAGTAGATAGTATCCCTAGTTATTGCACCATACTTCGCATGGGTGAGATCCCCACTGCTCTCTGTTGCCTTCTGAAAATATTAACGTCCATTCTGTATTATCTTGCTAGGTTCCACATCCAATTTAATCCCGGGAAACTTGAAAACAGTGACCTTTTCTTTGATGCATGATACTTCTGGAGTTTCCTTTTTGCTCTTGATCTGTCCCCTTCTTTTCTTTCTCTTTGTCCCTCTTCCCATCTCTTTTAGTGCTGTGAGTGACACATTCTGATCTATGTTAGCGTTTGGTTGTACAAAGAAGGAGAATCAATCCCCTCACTTAATTCAACATAACTTTTACATTGTTTAGTTGTTTGAATAAGGAGAATTAACCTCCTCAGTAATTTTGCCTTTCTTATGAATAATACCCGCATAAGTCATGCGGGAATCTATACGTCACTGTTCGAGCCGTGGAACCAGCCATTAATGCTTGCATTAGGGTAGGCTGTCTATATCACACCCCTTGGAGTGCGGGATACCTTGTGTACCGGCTGCCCTACAAAATGTCTCGCGGGAATATATCTATTATTTTATGCATGGTAGAATGTGGAATAAGCATACAGGAATTGGCAATACATGAATTAAAACTACTGAAACCTCAAAAATGCCCTCATCTACTCAGACATATATTATTTTTAATACAATAAACCAAACATCCAACAAGAATTAATCCCTGCATTGTAATCCCTACTATCGCTGCATTATTAATTCCTGCATTACTGCTCCTTGTATTACTAATCTTTGCATTAGTAATCTCTGTATAACTAGTCTTGTAACCAAGCGACTCTTTAGTGAATTACTAGCTGGACTGTGTTTTTCTTTTGTGGGGGGTGGGGGGTGGGGGGTGGGGGTTTATAGGATTGTTTCACCTTTAGCCCCTGTTTGGCCATACATTTTCCCAAATTTAATTTGAAATTTATTTTCAAATCCCATGTTTGGCCATAAATTTGACCCACATTTTGGCCAAAACTCAAATCACATATTTGAAATCTGAAATTCAGCTAATAAGCTGAATTTGGGCCAAATTTCCAAAACTTGGGAATTATATACATGTTTTCCCAAAATAAAGTTGAAAAATATGTTTTGAAATCGTATGTCCAAACACATTTTCATCTTCAAACCAAACTTCACCCAAATCAGATTTTTCAAAATAAATTTGGGATCTATGGCCAAACTCTAGCTAAGTTTGGAAGTAAACTTGAGAGATCTACTTTTTAAATCCCCACTGCTGAGAGGATATTTTTGGGGATTGAAGAGGTAAAGCTTTTCTGCCTCCATTTCAGTTGTATCAGAGACGGGTCCTTCACAACTGTGTTTTTTCAAATCCTATCTTGTGCTCTATTACGCATGATATGATATATGAGGTAACACTTGTTAACTTCTTAATGCTTTTTGACATTTTTGCAGTTCCGCTCATTGTCAGACCAAATATATCGCAGTACTGAGCATCACAAATTTGTGAGGGAACAAGTTGTTAAACAGGTTCTTCTCAAATTTTTTTGTTAGGTTCAACCTCGTTTAAATACTATGGTTTGGTTGCATTTAAACCATGAAGATAAATAAAAAAGAAAAAAGTTACCTGTCAGCAAAAGGACTGCTCCCTGCATCCAAAAAAAATAAAAAATTACTAGGAAAGTGTAGGCACAAAGAGTCGGCTAAGCAACCCAAAATTTACATATGCATACCTTTTCTAGGACAAAGTTACATCAAATCATTACTATGCATTGTGATCATGTCCTTCTATTTACTTCTTCATAACTATTGATTACCTCTAATTGTTGTTATTGTTAGCTCAAGTTCTGTAGGGAGTTGTATGAGGGTTATGTTCCGATGGTCTATGATGAATACTTGAAGAAAATGAGCAAGTAATTACTGAAGCTCCTTACACTTTTTTTCCCCACTTTTTAATGATTACGCTCTTATTTAAGTGCTCCTTCTAAACAGGGCTGGCGAATGGGGTGATCATATAACTTTGCAGGCTGCTGCAGATTCAGTATTGTCCTCTTGCCCTCTCCCTGTGTTCTGGTGTTTTGTGTTTCCATAGTAATTTGTTGAATGGATTTGTTTAGAAATTACTCTAGCATATATTGACAAAAATGATAGTTACTTGCAAGTTGATTGATTGGAGCACCAGAATTTTGCTATTATGGTAGTTTTGAGGTCTGTTGAACTTAATTGGTATTTTGGAGGGGCATTAAGTGAATTATTTACCAGCTAGCCTTCAGCGCCATTTTAGATGTTTCAACAGGGGTCTGGTTCTTGCTTAGTCACCCGTGTTTGGATTAAACCAGCTTCAGTTCTTTCTTGAAGGATGGATCTTTTAAGTGGAGAAAACTCTTTTGGACTGGAAGGACAAAGCTCTTGAATCAAATAGTTGTATAGATTCATTCTTAGTGTGTTCCTCAATGCTATTGTTATGTTGAATCCTATTAAAACAATGAACAGGAGTAGTATGGCAGTAAAAGTTTATATCCTTTTAGAAAATTTTTAAGCAGCCTATATGTTAAGATCAAATGTAGTGACTTTGTATTCAATGAGTCTACTCCACCAGTCTTCATTCTTGATGCCAGTTGCTTTGATGGCGGCTTAGATGTGTCTGAATGAGACGTTTATGGAATTCCGGTATAAATCCTCTTTTGAAATATTATAATATGAAGAGCTTACGTGCTGACATAAATATGCACTTAGGCTCTTGGGATTTCTAAAGTAAAACCCTTGGATTTTACACAAAATTGCTAGTGGCTTCTCGAGAGAGAGAGAGAGAGAGAGAGAGAGAGAGAGAGAGAGAGAGAGAGAGAGAGAGAGAGAGAGAGAGAGAGAGAGAGAGACTTGTGTTACTTTGGGCTCCTATTCATTGACAAAAACCTTGTTGATGGATTTAGGTCTTCTTGATGTGAATGTTAGCTGTGACCTCTTCTGTTTTATGAAGTAGTCTCTTCACTAAGAATTTGTGAGTTCTGTTTTTATGACCTAATTATTCGAGCTAAGTAAACAAATAGTTTGAAAATTTGAATTCGACAAATCATAGGTTTCACAGAAGTTTATCTATAAATTCATAAGAAACAGGAAATGTATCCTGATAATCTGTTATTAGGAATTTCTTGGTGCTTGTTGAGGAATTTGAAAATGTATTCGCTTATCATCCCTTTTGCAATGTGGCTTTTGATTTTTATCTGCCTGTACGGAGCATAGAATCCACTACTATTGACAGAAAACAAAATAAGCTTGTTTTATGTATTGTGAGAGTTGTCTTTTTGACTTTTATCAACCAGAAGAAATGGGGTTGATTTGGTAATTCACTGGAATTTTCTTTATTCCACAAACAAGTGCAAGGAGAGGCTCTGGATGATTTGTGAATGAGATTAAGTTATTCACACTATGGCCCATGCATCAGATGTCAAAACTGATAAGAACACATATAGTGGCAAGATGAACAAACCCTCTAGAGCATGGGGACTCTTATTATCTATGGATTTTGATTACGGGGCTAACCTCTCAAAAAGACTAAAGACTGGTTACTTTAGAATCAAGATGATGTTCCTTAATGATTCTAAAATGTAATGCATCTTATTCCTTATTACCAAACTTTGGTGTTTCTTACCTATTTTTGTGAAAGATATAGTAACCGTTATTCCAGATTTCTAAATTCAGAAGCAATTCCGTTAAATTCATTTGCATCTTGAAAGCAGCTGTTATCCTTGCTATTATAATAAATACTGTATGAAAAACAAGCAGTATACCTCTAAGAGCACCATACAGCGGTTTAGAATAAAAATGTTGCTATTATAGGGTCTCATTATTCACTTTATTCTGGATAACAGTGCATGTCATGGCTATGTTCTTTTATGCTCTCCCAAACCCCAATTTTTGCTAGAAGTAGCTGATTAGGCAGGGTCGTCGCCGCTCTTCCATTTGATTCGTTTAGATTGATTATGAATTTTCTTTCAAGGAATCTCAGTGCTTAGACAATGGTTAGGCGTTCCTAAGTTGGCATCCCTAAAGAAAGAGACCTTTGATTGGTTCCTGCCACCATTTTCCTTTCTTTTCCTTACACAGAAAATCCTATTTTCTCTCCCTTTTGTTGTCTATTTTCATATGATGGCGATCTACTATTCTCTCAATTCAGGTGTGTATTTTTAATTTTCAATTGGTGACTGACGTTTGTTCCAATGTTATTACAGTATGGTGTTAAGATATTTGTCATTACTTCATTCAAGGACACCTGCTACATTGAGATTCTTCCACAAATTCAAAAGTCAAACAGAAGTAAGTTTTTTTTTTATCAATGAGTGTTTTTTACTGTTGTACATTTTAGAGCTGAATCCGAGTAAGCTTGCGTTATTTATTTTTCCTTTTTTTTTGGGTGAGAGGGATCAAAGTTAGCATTTTTCTTTCTTTTTCGTTTGTGCGCTTGTGTGTAATCTTGTTGTATTGTAGATTTATTATACCTACGAAGAAAAGAAAGCTATAAGAAAGGTAGGATCCTAAAATTGGCAACTACAGTAGTTTCTAGGTCGATTCACTTTCATCACTGTTGCATAGAGCTGCTGATGTAGGATGAAAAGGAGAAGAGAGAAAGACCAGGTCTAAGAAGTGAAAATTGAATCAGTGTAGATAGGGAGATCAGAAAATGAGGATCCTATTCATGGATAGTAAGGTCTGAAGAAGTTTGACCTCTTAAAACATCTAGAAGTCTAACTTTTTGGTATACAGGAGTTTTCTCCGTTTTGATTAATACAATTTACCTTATAAAAAAAAAACATATCTAGAAGTCTACTAAAAAAATAAGATTAGATAAAACCTTATCTCGAAGACCTCTATTTTATCTTTGTATAATAGATAAAATGAATAATATGAAGTGATAGATGATGTCCTAATGATCTATATCAGCTACACATACAGTTTAATCTTGTTGGAGCTATCCCCTTTAGTACAGTGAGTTGAGAAAGCTTTTGTGGAATAGGAATTCAACTGTCTGAAGTACAAGACAACAAATGGTGAGAGAAGCTAGAAGCAGCACTAATTCTGGAAGGAGAAATATACATGGGTACTGGTGTTATATATGGGAAGGAATTGGATAACACTAGACCCAGGATTCTAGTATACATGGATATAACACTGAAGACTGAGGAAAATTTAGCACATTATCTTCCTCCTGTGATAAACACACCTTCTTGTTCTATTTCTGTTCATTCTCCCAGGACCTATAACAATTTGTCCGGTTCTAATTTCTTTTTTCGTGTGAGGGAAGCACCAATAATGTTAGTGCTTGCTAGTTTAGCACATTATCTTCCTCCGGTGAAGGATATGTCTTGTTCTCTTTCTTTTCTTTCTCTCTCAGAAAGACCGAATAATATGTCTTTTTAATTTATGCAGTCATTTTTTTGAGCTTTTGGGCCGAAGTGCACTACAATTCAATCTATCCGCAAGGAGGTAAATGAGTATTGTCATTCTTTCCTTTTTGTGGTAGAGAATGCATTTAATAGCCACACGCTTTTATTGAACGGGTATTGTTTGTACGTCTTATTCGTATTCAACATGCTTTTAACGTAGTAAAAGAAGTGTTATAATTAGTCTCTGGTGTATGTTTACAATTTTCTGAAAAGCTCCCACTATCTTGAACTCCACCCTCAACCCAAAAACTGCTCTTCCACATTTGCCAAGGTTTTGAAAATAGAAAACTCACTCTTTCACGTTTGTCAGAGGTTTTGAGCTTTCTTCCTCAAACTGATTGTGAAGTACCATCATGTTTTGTCTAAAAAAATTTATTGGCTATATCTTCTGTTCTTAATTAGTGGCCTTGCATCTAGTTTTCCCCGATACCGTGTCTCGGAGTGCCTGATGGGAAGTCATATATAAAGACAATTAGCTGAGAATTCAATGATCTTTTAGGATTCTTTTAACGTAAAAATAGCACGGTATAGCTAGTTTTCGAACTGGTAATTCAAAAATAGTCAGCGTTTACCAAGTCAATGAAAAATAGCTATTGTTTTGCTACAACAGAGACCGGTCCAGCATAATATCGGTGCACCTGTGTATGAACTCCAGCATATTATGCTGAACTGGTATACTTTCCTGGCTCTAGTATAATATACTGAAGACTGGAGCACCGGTGCTCCAAACTCTGGTATATTATGCTGGACTGGTATACTTGCTGGAACTCAAGTATATTATGCTAGAGTTCTAGTGTATTTATGCTGGAACTCCATCATATTATGCTGGAACTTAGTAATATGCTGGAGTTCAAGTATACTTATGCTGGAACTCCAGCATAATATACTGGCGTATTTTTCGGGTTTTGAATAGTGTTTTCGCTCAGATTTATCTTTACATTAAAAGTGGCTAAATTTCGATTACTTTTGAAACTGAGCTATTTTTGAACGACCAATTGTAAATCTGGCAATTTTTGAATTTCTTCCTCTTTTAACGGGTTTTGTCGGACTAGAAATTTCGGTTGGACCGGTATACTTCCAGATTAAGGATTTGCTTCGACAGGACAAGTTTAACAAGATAGTTACATAGCGGATTTACCTGGCTAAGAGGGTTCATCTTTTTCACTAGTAGCAGTAGGGATATAAAATGCAGTATTGGTTAAACGGTTTCGTTTTATGCTAATTTATTACAGAGTTTCCTGCTGGAGAGACCCGAAAAAGAAAAAAATGGTGGTGGCTAGGCTGAGACTTGAGAATAGCATTCGCCAGCTTCTTTTGGATGATTAGAACTTAAAAGAGTTCTTTTCTGGAACAGAGGACCTTATCACGAGGATTAGGGGCACTGTGACAACACCATCGGATTGTATAGAATTTTTTTAATTCTTTCCCATAGGTAGATAACAATTTTGCCATTTCACGGCCTTCATTCTTTGTGTGTATATCATTTCTTATTTTCAGTTAGCTCTATCTATTATTGATTTATATATATGCAATGCTACCCTACACCAGTTACCTGCAACTTGCAAGTTTCAATTCTTGCTTCACTATCACCGCTTGATGTCTACTGTATAAACTTTCTTAAAAAGATATAAATTGAAAAGGAAAATGTAAAGGTTTGGACTTGCAACTTAATGACTCTAGTTTCCTGCTACACTTTTAGCTAATAGGTTTTATTAATCTTATAAAAGGTCCTTCAGTCTATGTGTCACGATTCAAAACCCTTTCCTATCCCGCATTGGATGGGATAACAATCTCGAGAGCAATAATTTTGTGTATTCATTAAATTAACCTTAATTAATTATTATTTTGACACATTGGAATATGTAAATAAGGTAAATTTTGAAAAAATAAAATTAACTTTTTTATTATGTAAATGGACACTTATTTTGGGCCAAAATAAAACACTAAAATGGACACTTATTGTGGACTGGAGGGAGTAAAAGGACAAAGATGCCTTTCTTCAATGGTCGTCTTCCAAAGTCCTTTAAAAATTTAGGGTTAAAATTCAAATAAAATTTATCTAATGTAAATCAAACATGTTTTGTGTTATATCCCGTATATCTCATTTCTAGTGCAATGAACCAAACATTTTATAACGATCCGACCGGTCGTTTTGAGAATTTACGTCCCGTTCGATGGCTTAAAGTCTTGAGCAGCTTCGTATTATGTGTTCTGACCTGCGGGTGCTGCCGAGTTCAGTTATCGGATGATTCGGAGTTAATTTGAAAGAATGATTTCGTTTTAGAAGCTTAAGCGGTAAGAGTTGACAAGAATTTTGACTTTGAGAAAATGACTCCGAAATGGTGTTTTGAAGATTCCAATAGCTTCGTATGGTGATTTTGGACTTAGGCGTGCGTCTGGATTTGGATTTGGAGGTCCGTAGGGTAATATAAAGCATTTCGGTGGAAGTTGGAAAAATTGATATTTTGGAAGGTTGAAAGGTTTGACCAAGAGTTGACTTTGGTGATATTGGGGTCGGAATGCGATTCTGAGGGTTGGAACAACTCCGTTATGTCATTTGGGACTTGCCTGCAAAATTTGACATCATTCCGGGTTGATTTGTTAAGTTTCGGCGCGAGTTTTAGAAGTTGCAAGTTTTGAAAGTTCATGAGCTCGATTCATGGTGTGATTCGTAGTGTCGACGTTGTTTGATGTGATATGAGGCCTCGAGGGAGTCCGTGATAGGTTATGGAACTTGTTGGTGTATTAAGACGGGGTCCCAGGGGTCTCGGGTGTGTTTTGAATGGGCTACGGACCTTTTCTCCATGATTTTGGATTGTCGTTCTGCTGGTTGCTGGTTTCTTTTATCGTGATCGCACCAGCTCTTCCGCGATCGTGTAGTGTGTTTTTTGGAGGCAGATAACATTTGTTCTTCGTGTTCGCATGCCTCTGTCCGCGATCGCGTGGTTGTGCATTTTCTTTCAACGCGTTCGCGTTTAACCGTACGCGTTCGTGTAGCACAACCCCAACCGGTTCCCTTTCGCGAACGCATTCTCCCTTTCGCGGTCGTGTAGTGCAGTCCTTTGGTGTCAGAAGCTTTCCCTCTTCGCGATCTCACTCTTCTGTACGCGGTCGAGTAGCATTAATTTTTGGACTGTGGTCATTTCCTCTTCGTGGTCGCAATTGAAATTCCGCGATCGCGATGTATTAATCGCTAGGCAGAATATAAAAATACTCTATTCCGAGGGTTAGCCCTTTTTAACATTTTTGGAGTTGTAGAGCTCGATTTTGAGCGATTCTTCGTGGATTTTTCAAGCAAATCATTGGGGTGAGCGTTCTTCACCTAGAATTTATTATATTTCATGATTCTATCTTTATTTTTATCATTAAATTAGTGTTTTGGGTTGAGGAAAAATGGGGATTTTTGAAGAAAACTTTCAAAGTATAAAATGATGATTTGAGGGATGAATTGGTATCAGAATTTGATAATTTTGGTATAGTTGAACTCGTATCGGAATGGGTGTTCGGGTTTTATAAAATTTGTCGGGTTTCGAGGTACGGGCCCGGGGGTCGACTTTTGGGTTGATGTTTAGTTTTTGATAAAAATTGAAGCTTTATTATCCGTAATAGTTTCTTATGAGTTTTATTTATGCTTCGAAGTTATTTTGGGTAGATTTGAGCCGTCCGGAGGTTATTTCAATCGAGAAGTTCATTTTAGAGTAACGGTCTATCTTCTTTGAGGTAAGTATCTTCTCTAACTTCGTGTGAGAGAACTACCCCTTAGGATTTGAGTCTTTTATGCTAATTATATCATGTAAAGTCCGTGTACGCGAGGTGACGAGTACGTGCTTGGGCTTATTTATGGAAAGTTGACCTTCTAGGGCTCTTAGGTTCTTATATTCATTAGATATGAAGTTGTTTTGTTATGTTAAGTTCCCCATTTACTAGTTTCACCTCCACGTGTTTTAATTGGAATTAATTGCTTCATGTTCCACCCTTATTGCCTATTTGACTCTGGTGTGCCTTAACTGAAGTTGTTGCCTCTTCAATTACATTGCTATCTTTTCCGTTGCTTATCCTTAATTAAGTTGTTGTATTGCTTCCGTAATTTACTCAAACCTAAATGAAGTTAGTTATCCTCTATCATAGTCGCCTCATCCTTATTTGGAATTAATGACTCATGTTATTGATAAGAAGAAAATATCATGCATACATAAGTAACACGTTTAATTTAAATACCAATGTTTATATTTTATTTGCAGGAAATACCATAAATAAGTAAGAGAAAATAAATAAATCAAGAAGAAAAGAAAAAGAAAAATACAGAAAAGAAATCACAAGCTTGAAACGTGACTCAAATTTGCCTTGTAAGCCCGTGAAGACTAATTGCAAAGAAAGGAAACCAAAGTTATGCAAATCAGAAGAAAACGTGATGTAAAATCACGTTTCCAAAAGCTTTCAAGTGCACCTATAAAATGGGAACTTGGAGCTAGTTTAAAGGATATGACGGAGGAGCAGAAACTATATCATACATTGCTTTCTAATTATAAGTTTTTTTTATATATCAATTTCTTTAATTATCTAGTGTAGGAAATTACTCTAGTTCTTATTTTTAATTAAATAGGGGAATTACTCTTTTTGAATATTTTCTTCTATTTTCTTATTTAATAAGCAAGAATATTTCCGTTGTTAGTAATAATTCCATCATGGAGTAACTTTTCTTGTGTTGGGAAAATGACGAATCTTAATATTTCTATATAATAGTAGATATTATCCCTCAATTTCGGGTGCTTGAGCTGAAGCTTCTTATTTAAATTTTATCTGCTTTATAGTTAGGTGTTATTTAATTTGTTAACATCTATCTATTTCGTACTACATATTAACTTATTACTAATTTTGTAATCAAAAGAGGCGGAAGAAGCAATATAGTAAATTTTGTTATTGATAGATGTTAAGTTTTATTTAATAACATCTAGCTCTT